GCTTTAAATTTAATAAGTTTATTATATAATTTTTAGTCTAATATCTTTTTTAATTAACTTGTTATAAATTTTTAAAACGTGTCTACAATAATATAATAGGTAGCTGTAACACTAGGCTTTAGTACTGCTTTAGGCTGAAACAACTTTATGCTTCTAGTTCAAAAGTATGAAAAAGCATTGAATACAAAAATTAATAAAAACAAATCAGTAATAATACCTTTTACAGAAAATACTCAAAGAATACAACTTTAAGGAATAAAAAACTTTTAAACTAAAGAACAAAATAGCACAATTATCATTCTAGGCTATGAAACTAATATTGAAGAAAAGTTAGCAAAAGACCTATAGTATAAGATAACAAACAAAATTAAGAAAAAGATTAATCATCTCTTTACAAGAAACCTTTTCTTTAAAAAAAAAATTCTAGTAACAAAAATCTTACTTATATCAAAGATCTAATATTTAGCTTATCTACTACTTTCAAGCAAAAAACAACTTAATGAAATAGGCTCAATTCTCACTAAATAGATCAAAAATAAATCTAAAATGCTTCTATACTATTTAATATTTCAAGCTAATAAAAAGCTAAGAGGCCTAAAAGCTCCTATTCTAAAAGATCTACTTGATACAAGACTACTATTAATTTGGTGAAATAATACTGAAAGTTGCTTTAAACTAAAATAACATAAAGCTAAAAAGATGACCAGAAAGATGAAAATTCTATCTAACAGTTTAGAAAAGAGCAGAAGAACTAATTACAGAGAACAATATCTGGCTTTGGATCTTAGATAATATTAAAATAAACTCTATAATAGCAAGCAATTACTTAGTCAAAACTATAGCTGACTTCTTTAAAATAAAACATCTACTACAATACAGAATAGTATATTAAGCCAAGAAACCCAATTAGAAAATATATATAAATAAATGAAACTTGTATTCTTAGATTATTGGACTGCTCACTTTGCACAAAACTCTGATAATAGCTATCCAGACTGCTCATATATTACTCAAATTATAGAACACCTTGCACTTAAATGCAAACTAATAAATGAATTTAAAAATAACATTACCAAATTTTTAAACTGCAATATTTTTACAATATTTCATATCAAATGCAATTCTTTTGAAATACTGCAAAAGAATTTAAAAAACTGCACTGATCTTCAAATTTATTAAAAAACTTACAATATTGTGCTGATAAAAAATAATTAGCAAGTCATCCTGGTTATAATGGTGGTATATCATCAAATTTGAATAATTATTTGCTAAGATAGTTAAAGAATTGCATTTTAGCTATCTTAGCAAATACTTATCCAAATTTGATAATTTAACTACCAATATGACTGAGATAATCTGTTGATTATTTTTTATTAATGCAATATTGCTAAGTTTCTTAATAAAATTCAGAGATCAGCACAGTTTTTTAAATTCTTTCACAATATTTTGCATTATTTTGTATCAAATGCAATTCTTTTGAAATTATTGCAATTTAAAAATTTAATAATGAAAGCTACAAACTGCTTAAAAACAGTAAAATAGAGAATCTTCTAACTTCAGTAAAAGAAATAATTAATACAAATAACATCAAAAATGCCAAAAAACACAAAGCAATACTGTGAATCTATATGCATACAATTTACAAAATTTGGCATTAGTTTACTTAAGCAAAATAGAACAATAACCTAATAATAGACTTAGAAAAGAAATTAAAGTACTTAGCACTTTGCAATGAAGAGAATTCAAAAAAGGATCTTCTTTAAAAAAAGAAATTTTAGACTTTATCAATCTAAATAATAACTATATGTAATTCATAATTATTTTTTAATAAATAAATAAATAAATATACTTAATTGTGGTTATATATATATTTATAAAAAGAATTATTATGTTTAACTTTTTTTTTTACTCTAAAAGGCTCTGAAATATAGCCTGAATCTACTATGTGTGCACTTTGGCTAGTAAAAAGTAAACTTATTATCTTAATGAATCAGTTTCTAACTGGCAATTGGCTCTGTGAGCCTATTACCTCCTTGTAAGAGTGTTCTTTTCTTGTTTGTTTTTTTTTGTTTTTCTTTTGCTTTCTATAAGTAACTGTTGTAAATAGAGTTTCTTCAAAACCTTTTTTAAGTGGATAATGAGCTGCTATATTGTTAAATGTTTTTGTTTTCCAGTTGGTGTTTGTAGTTTTATCTTTCTTTGTAGAATTGTTTAGCAGCTCAGTTTCTAATTCTATTAACATTTCTTCTTCTGCATCTGAGATGTATTTAGAAATTGGCAGTAAGAGATCTAAAAATCTATGATCCAAAAAATATAACACCAAATGATCTACTTCAGTAAAGTCAAATTTTTGAAGCACTTAAAATAGTAGAAGTATGTATAGTGTTATATAGTATTATAGAAGAATAGGCAGTAAAATTAGCAGCAATGGACATAAACTTAGGGTTATTCAATTATTAAAAAAATACAAATGAAAGAGAAATATCTAAAAAAAAAAACAAAATCAGAAAGAACGAAAAAGCCAAAAAAACAGAAGTAATGTTATCTACAGAAAAGAAAAGTCAAGAAGGCAACAATAAAAAGAAATAAATAAATCAAAACTTACAAAAAGTCATAGAACAAATAAAAGAGCTGAGCATCTTAATTATACAATAACCAAGCTCTAGAAGTTCTCAAAATATAATCAAAAGAAAACTGTTAAGCATAACAGAAAGTAAAAGCTACAACTAAGAAGAAGTAAATAAAGAAGACCAAGATCTTTTAATTAATAGTAGAATATATAAGCTTAAAAAGAATATCAAAGAAATAAAAATGAAAATTGCTAAACTAAAAGCAGAAGAAGAAAGTCAAAAAACTTTAAAAAATAACAAACATGATAGAGCAATATTAGTAGTTATTAAGAAATTGTATATGTGACAAAAGTAGATCATTTAAAGCAAACATGCCAACATATCTAGTACCAAAAAAGAACAAAGAAAAGAGGATAAAATACTCTTAATGAATCTTTTAAGAAAATCATCACATTAAATTAATTCAAGAGATATTCAAAAATGGTAATAATTGGATAGAAGTGAACTTCAACTATAAGTTTAGCAAAGATTAAGTAATAGAAAGAATAAAAGAAAAAAAAGATAAATAGCTTAAAATTATTTTAAAAAAACTAGAAAGCCAAGAAAGAAACAAAATCAGCAAATATACAGAGATAAGAAAAAAAAAAGAGAAATTCAAGAATTCTAAAAGACAGAAACAAGTAGAAAATAATGAAAAAACTTATTTAACAGAAAATGAGTTAGAGTAGAGTTATTGCTAATAATATAGAATTTACCAGCTAACATTAATACAAAAGAAATAGATTACATATGCAAAAGTATTAAAGAAGTTTATGTAAAATATATTAAGAGATCTAAATACAAAAACTAGCAATAATCAAGACAAAAAAACTAGAAAAAATATCTTATAGTCATTGCCAATAGAATTATACAAATTAGCAAAGTAACAATAGATAAAGAAGATTATAACCAATATAATTTGCAAAACCAATTTATAACTAGATTGGTAAAACTTCCAAAATATGTATCAGAAGTATTGCTATTATAATAGTTAAAGAAAAAAAATACAAGATCAGTATACATACCATCTAACAGAAATCAGCTATAATTACATTTGTATTAACAAAAGAAATAAAAACAGCACAAACAAAGCCAATAAGATTTAACAACCAACTACTCTTTTGGCAAGACTACAAAAAAAGAAAAGACAAATATATAAACAAGAATAGAAATACAATCTAAAATATATTAACATAAAAGAACTACTAAAAACTCAGAAGTAGAAGTATACAGAAACAGCAGTAATGACAAACAGAAAAAGAAAGATGACAAACACCACAATAGTTACAAAAAGAAAAATGAAAAAAAAGAAACAAAGTCACAGATACACAATCTTTATCAAAGAATATTAGAGAGATTAGAAAGATTAGAAACTCAACAAAGCTAGGCAGTTCTGGCTAATCATTCCTAAGAATGCACTAGTTAAATTAATGTATACAGATGACAAGATCAGAAACTTTTTGTAAGGTAAAAGGAGAACTTCCAAAGAGAGAAAAAAGAAAGTATTTCTTAGTTTAAAAAAAAAAGAAAACAGAAAAAAAAAAGAAAAAATAGTAAATAAGAAAGTGATGCAAGAAAAGTTAAAAGAAAAATGAAAAAGAGGAAAAAAAAATCAAAATAGTAACTCATAACATCAACAGGTTAAAGACTAAAAGATGAAAGCTTAAAAATCTACTTAGCTAAGTAGAAGAAAAAGTTGCAATTTTGGAAGTTATAGAAACAAACTTTACAGAAAAAGAAAGAAAATTTCTAATGTACAAAGCAACTAAAAAATATATTAGATATTGGAGCAGTGCAGTAGAAGACAAAAGAAAAGAATTAGGTATAGGAATTCTGGTAGAAGAACATTGGAAAAAAACATGTAGGTGCAGTTAAGAGAATAAATAAATACATGATAGAAATTATATTATAGTTTAAGTAATTAAAGTTAATAGTAATAGAAGTTTATATACCACCAAACAACAAAGAAATAAGAAAAATTATTCAGCAAAAAATAGTAAAAACCATTAAAAAAAAAGAAAGACAAACACAAATTATCATTATGAGTAACTTTAATTATACTATAAACAATATATTAGATAGACAAAATCCACAAACTGCAAGTTTCAAAAGATTACTAATATTTAATTAAATAAGATAACAAAACTTCTATAATATATATAAAGAAATGCACTCAACAGAACAAAGATATACATGGTCAAATATAGATACAGTAACAAGAATTAACTATATATAGGTATCAGAAGAGTTAGCATCAGATTTACAAAAAGCAAAAATTAAAGATATAAAGGAAATTACTAAAAGTGATCACAAAATAGTAATAACAGAAATATGGATTAAACATATAATAATGAAAAGCAGCAAGGCAGATGTTAAAAGAAAAAGTTAATCAAGAACAATATATCTTTATAATATTACAAAAAATAAAGAATGAGAAAACTATGTACAAGAATTATAAAAAATGATTGAAGGTCAAAGAAACATTGAAGTATATTTAAAAGAAAGAACAAGAAAAAAAAACACAAAAGATAAATAATATATAGAATATAATGAAAGAGACAATCATAACAGTAGCAAACAACCATATATCTAAGAAAAAGATTTACAACATAGTAACAAACAAAAAGCATAGCTAAAAAGACTAATGATGAAGAAAGACTATTGTAAAGTTTCAAAGATTAGTCAAATACACAAAAACAAAAAGAGGTCAAAAAGTTACAGAGACAGAAAAAAGTGAAGTAAATAGAAAACTTAAGGTACTAAACAAAAAAGTAGATACAAAGCTACCAAAAATTCAAAAACAATGGTCTGATGCATAAATAGAAGACATAAAGAGTTGATAAAGAATTCTTCAGAACAAAAAGAGAAAAGAATAAGAACAAAACCAAAGACAAGTAGAAGAAAACATAGACAAAAGATGTGAAATAATCAAGACTGACTAAAAAAAAATAATAGCCAGTCTTTTGAACAAACTATACAAGAAAGTAATACTTAATAGATTAATCAAACAAGCAAAAAAAGAGATGAAACTAGTAATAGAATTAAAGCTAGTCAAAGAAGCTATAGCAGAATGTTATAAGAAACAATTTAGAAAAAGAAATATCAAGTTAGAAAGGATATTAGAAAGTTGAAAAAAAATTTATAAACTACAGGATCATATTAAAAAAGAATAGTATAATGGAATTAAAAGAAAAATTGAGAAGAAAGAATAGAATAAAATAGTTAAAGAACTTAACTTCTAGAATATTAGAAATAAGTTACATTCTGATTAAAAGAGCAGAAAGAAAATGCAAGAGGTGTTCAGAGCATATGCAGATTTATACTTAAAAGTAAGAGAAATACCAATGAAGTGAAAAATAGCACAAGTATATTCAATACCAAAAGATGTAGAATGAAGGTATAGTTTAAATAACATTTATCTAATAGTCTTAATTGAGATATTCAAAAAGATTGTAATGAAGATGTTAACAAAGAGACTTAGTAAAATTTTTGTTGAAAAAAAAATATTTAAGAGACCAAACTATGCAGACCTTTTAGGAAACTCAAAAAAACAGCCAGTACATGTTCTAAATATGATAATAGAAAAGACAAAAGAAAAAAACAAAGAATTATAGATATTTCTGCAAGATATAAAAAAGGCATTTGACTTTGTCTCACTCAAAAGTTTTGAATAAGCTTTGCAAAGAGTCAAGATATCTAAGAAGACTATTAAATATATTCTAAATCTTTTTTATAAGAAACAACTTAAGATAATTACAGCCTACAGTCTAACAAAAGAAATAATAGCAAAAAATAGAATAAACTAAGATAAAGTAATATTACTACTAATATAATATTTCTTTTATGACCCATTACTGAAAAAAATACAGAAATATAAAAGATTAGGTTATACAGTAGAGCAAGAGATCAAAAAAAGAATACATTGCAAATAGCAATTATATATGTAGATAATATGATATAAATCATAAACAACAAAGAACAGTTATTAGAAATACTAAAAATAGCAGAAGAGTTCTTTAAAATGAATGATATAAAAATAAATAGAGCTAAGTTTAAGTTAATAATAATGAATAAAAAAGTTAAGAAAAAGAAAAGAAAATAATATTTGAAAAAACTAAAATAATAGAGAAACCAAGAAACAAGATAGTTCATTTCTTAAGAATTTGGCTAAACAACAGAATATGAGAAGTTCTAGTTAAGAAAAAAGCAAAAAAATAGTAAGCCAAACAATAAGAGATCTTAAGTACAAGAAGATAACAATAAGCCAAATAGTATATATAATTAATATGATGATAATATTAAAGTTAAGTTATATGCTGCAATTAACAAAAATGTTAGTAAAAGAGATAAATGAAGTACACTAACTAATAATATGTCTGACAAAACAAAAAAACAGCTTGTTAAGAATATTAGAGAATTGCATAATAGAATACAAAGATCTGAGCAGTTGCAGAACATTGTGACAAAAATTAATAATAAAACAAGTAGAAGGTCTTTTAGCAAAACTTAATAGAAAAGATGATTTAGGGCAGTTAACAAAATTAAAAATAATATAAGGTTGCCAAAAAGCAGATTTAACTAAAGACATATAGAAATTAAAAAAGCTATCAGAAGATAGAATATGTTAAAAAAACAATTTAGTCTGTT